AATGGCGGATCGTGCGCTTCGCCCAATGTCTGTGGGTGCTCTGCCAGCTACACGGGGACTACCTGCAGTGAACGTAAGTATTGGGGAAAGATACCAACATTTTCTCACTGGCGAATGGAAGACTTTACCAAGCGACGGATAAGCAAGAAGGGAAATGAAATATGTGTCGTTGTAGTGAGCCCCTAACAGCGTCACTCTGTCATCTGAACCACCAGATACAGAGACACTTTGCATATCTCCACCACTGATTTCACATAGTCTAGGCTTTCGTATCATTCACGCTTGAAGTGTCAGTGTGCGGTGTTTTGTTTTTCAGCGATTTGCTCGCCGCCTTGCGACAACGGAGGGAACTGCACATCACCCAATGTCTGCAACTGCCCAGCAAGTTACATTGGGAATACCTGCAGTGAACGTAAGTTACGGACGAAAGGCGAAACTATTCCACGATAGGGGTCTTTAATGTGATGTAACATTATTCCATCGATTAGGCTAAGGCAATATAGTGACGATTGCTTGTCCAGGGAGTGATTTGTTCCCAGAGGGCACTGCGCTTCATCCAATGCCTGCCAATGTCCCACTGCTTATGCGGGGTATACGTGAATTGAAGTAATAATTTTGGGGAAAAAAACGCCCCAGTAGGCCTATGTTTCACAAGTCGGGGCTTAAGTCGGTGGCATAATTTACGCCGGATCTAAATGGGCTGCACGGCTTTTGTTTCGGCAGCGATTTGTTCACCGCCTTGCAAGAACGGCGGGCAGTGTGTGGCTCCTAACGTCTGCAAAAGCCACTGCGGTTCCCGTGGGATTACCTTCAACAAAGGTAGGTTTGAGTGATGGACATAGGAATGATGGGTGGAGTGGCCAGGGTTTTACGGAGGGGGAAGGGGCAGCAAAGCACCTGACAACGACAAACTGGCAAAGCATTAACGGTAGAAGTATAAATTCCTTCTGTTCTGTTTCTGTCCTGTTGGAGGGGTGATCATTAGGTGCAAATGTAACAAATGCTGCAACAATGCAATATCTATTCATATCCAGCAAGAGCGGAATTACACTAAAGGAGGAAACCTACTGCTCCAAGTGGGGTCACATCAGATGCTGTATTTCTGAAGCGAGTGTTATGGAGGTGTTGCATGGTAGACATCTTGCAGGGCAAAGTTCTTCTGTACGACAGGGAAAACTCCTCGATGTATGCCCTTCGGAACAAAAGCACTGGCTTGCAAGATGACAGCCATATAAACCCTCTTTTACGGCTCATACTCGAAGACACCGTACTTCCAACCAACATCACCAAAAGCGCGTCTTTTGCTACACAGCATTTTGGGCATACAACGTGCATGTTCCTTGTCAGGCTTGAGAGGAGGCTATAGTCTTCACGCGTCGCGGAGGCCTCCCCGGTTGAAATTTCAAAATGTACATGTACTTCCCTTTGAAAAATTCCTGCAGATCCAGGAATTCGCAAAAAAACATGAATTTTCCAGGAATAAAGTAGGTTCGAACTGAAAGCAAATATTTACCGATTTGGGAGATTGTACCGTGTATAAAATGACAATAAAGTTTCCAATGTCTGGGCAAGCTGCAGAGAAAAATCCACTTTTCTCATCTACTCAAAAATAAGTAGCTGAAATGGTATACTTTATTATAATTTCCAGGCCTGTCCGCCATGGACGTAGCCAGTGAGAAGTGCCTCCGAGGTCACGTGATCGGAACCGTCCTGGTACCCCAGCCAGTCATGTGTGCTTTTGCCTGCCTCCGAAACACCCGCTGTAAATCCATGAATTACTACCCGGTTAAACGTTTGTGTGAGCTGAATAAGGTCAGTGCCGACGGTGCGGGCACTAGCGACTGGTTTCACGCGGTGGATTGTGTTTTTTATCGCTCACAAAATGTACTAATCGGTTAGCATGAAGTTCATGAGAATCTGTAAATTGATCTCATTGCTTGTTTTCTTTCTTGTAATTAAGCAGTCAAAATGGAAACTGAAACTAATTGAAGAGGTACTGTGATGGCGAATGCTTTTATGATTGAATGTACTATTGTTTTTGCGTAAAAGTCATGCAAGTTTTGCAGTGGCGTATTGGGGGAGAGCAACTTGCCCCCGGACGGATATTTAAAAATAATACTTCAAAGGTGAATTGGAAAGAGAGGGGTACAGTGATTTATCAAATATTAGCAGCAAAGCCCTCAGAAAACAACACCAGCACGTGAAAGTAAAGATGTTGGGACCGTGAGTAAGGCTTTTGATATTCCTCCCCCAACATCATGTTGAATGAGCCTGTGAAGCGGCATTCGCTTTTGAATTTGCCCCCCCCCACACCAAAAGCTGGACACGCCTCTGATAATCGTAGCTTAGCAACAATTCAAGATGTAACTGCGTCTGGTAACTTCTAATTTGCTACTGCACAGCAGTTGATCATCAAGGGGTCAGGAGGTTTAAACTCCCTGGTAGGTCGCAAAACGGTGGAAATTAAACGAGAGAATAACTGCTGCTCTTGAACCTGCCCCTCCCACGGTTGCGGCAAATCTGGATCCACCCCTGTTGTTACGTTGTACCAAATACCGAACAAACGGTTTGGCAAGTCACTGAAAACACCACTGCAGCGGCAGAGTTTAATGCAGACCACCTAGGTGACGTCAAGGTTGTTTCAGTTGCAGTCAATTAATCTGATTGCAATATCAAATTGAATAATTTACATTTTAGTGTGCATATGCAATAAAAACGGTATTCATTTTTCCTTACGGAGACAGTACAATCTAAAAATTTAGCACCAGTTCAGGACAGGGCTGGGGAAACGCCGCAAAAACACTACACAAAAAGCAATTAGCCTGTGGAAAACCATCAATTAAAATAAAAGTCTGAAGAACATCTGTGTAGAGCCGTTAATTATTCATTCACCGTAGAAACAGCTACACTGACAGACTAAAGCGCAGCCCTGAGTATCATGTACAAGAAGATGATCTTACCCTATGACCTGCTGGTGTGTCATTTCCAATTCTGTGCACCGTTCGTTTGTTTAGAATTGATTGATGATTTGTGTTTCCTGGCTCGCAGAACTCATGTTCCCCCAAAGTATGGATTTTTTTTCAACATTTGCATGTACAGTGATATTCATAGTTTAGCTGAATGCAACACTTACATTATAACGCATTATCGTTATGAAAGTTATCTATAATGTATATTAACCTGACAGCCGCTCATGTTTGCTCGTATTGTGAACAAAGATTGATTTATCGAAAGAAATCCTTTATTCGATCCATGTAGTTGGTGCTCATGGCAATGTGCCATGGTGAAACAATTGTTATTACGGCAACCATTATTTACAATTCCGTCGGACGGCACACAAGAAAGCCGGCAAACCAAATACATGTACCGTGCATGTATATTGCATTTTGAAGATTCGCAATGATCATGGGTTCAAAGTAAAACATATATCTGTCTGTAAAAGATTTTGGGGAGATTTTCTTATGATAGACGCTCCGGGTGGGTTATGCCACTCACGGACTCTATCTTTATGAACATACCTCAGAAAAAACACTATATACCGATATGGAAAAACTAAAAAGAAATCGATTGTCTACAAATTGAAGAATGCAGCTACGGATTAAAATGTTAACTTGAGTCACAGGAAACAACTTCGTTTAAAAAAAGAAACCCTTGTTTATCCTTATGACATTGCGTAGAATGCAGGTGCAATACAAGCGTATTTGGGCTGCAATTAAGAAAATAATATTTTGAGCTTTTAAAAACATTTTCAGGATTCTCAGAGCTAGCGACAAAAGTAATTAAATCAACGCACGTTTTGATGAGCAGTTTTAGAAATGACTTTCAACTTCAACATACACTGCAAAACATCCAAATTGGGATGCCAAAGCCTGATTCAAATCTTGCTCTTGTGTGAATAAGAATTAGTCGCTTGCTTTGTGTGACGCCTAATTGGTTCATTCATTCTAACAATCGACCCAGAACCAGTAAAAAATAGGCACAGGTTCGACATATTACTGCATTGCTTTAAGGAAGACCTTTATTAAAAGAAACGACCATAGCGCAGGGTTAATGCTTGTTATATCCTTTCTTTTCACCCGATTGTGTGAAACATGAAAAGTTGAATTTGTTATATTTATTTTGCACATACAGTAATAGCTATTTCTCTCCTTTTAATTTTGCTTAAAATAACACACTCCTTTTAATGATATCGTTTCTTTTAATAAATGTCGTTTTTATTGAAATGCTTTGTAAACAGAACTGCCTAATTTACCCTTTCATACAGCTTTTTGACACTAGATAGGTATACGACGTAGTTGTCATTCAGGAATGGACAATTTTCAAAGTCGTTTTTTTTCTCTAGAGAAAGATTCCACAGCCATAAGCCTTAACCTAAGTTGGTATTGGAACCTTTAGTTTTCTGTGCTTTCATGTTTAGACGGCAGCCACGATCATCTTCACGCACCGGTGGAAAAGCAATTAAAAGACACACAAAACAGCTCATTACCTGAAATATGGTCTGCTCTTTTCACGTCGTAGTCGTGTTGTATTTTCCAACAAGTGGCTGCTAAAGCTATGGCTGGCCTTCTGTACAAAAGTAAAAGAATTATTCACAAAGTATTAAAACTCCCACACAACTATCGGAACACCAGATAATAATACGCGTAGGCCTACATGTACTACGAAGTACTAAAAGCAAAGACAATACTATTTAAAATCATTGCGACAAATATCCATTTTGAGCAAATTGGAGGTAAAACTGGAAAGAAACCAAAGGTGGTATTTCTGCAAGTTTTGACCGCCCATACAAGTTGTAGGTAAAATGAGAGTGGTCTGTGTACAATCGCGCCGTTGGTTGTCATGGTAACTGAAGCGGCAGCCGCCAACATACCGGAACCACGCGCATCATAGGCACGTTACTTTACGACAGGCTCAGTGTTAACCACGAACAAGTCATGATCCAGAACCGACTTCCCAAAGGGAACCAATTTTTGGAGGGTGATTTGAGAATTTGTTTTATGTAACCTTCATGACCTCTCTTAGGAATGAGGCTGAATTGGGGATCGTTTGTACACATCTTGGAGAAGAAAATCCATAACATACCGGTAGTCCTCGAAATGATCTTTCGTGTTTTTGTTAAGGGTGGGGTTAGTTGGCCCTCGTTTCTCTTCTAAATTTACACTGATTTACACTGAGGGTACTTAATCAAACGTGAATCTTGCACGTTTTGAGGACTGTTCTCGAGTGTGACCCCCTACCCCATCTGTGGCAAAGGGAGAGGCAGTGTTGACTCAGGTCTGAACACAGCTCCAATTAATGTGCACTTCAACCGATGAAAGGATTAAGTGCTTAACATGAGGCCAGGCATCCAGTATAGTCCCACACAGACAATCCAGCATCACTGCAAAACAAAATCCATGAAATACAGCATATTAAACGGCGAAGTCAAAGGAAGATTAAACTGATCAACTTGAATTTTTTTTTCTTTTCAATCACTTTCTGGATGACAATTTTTTGAAACTTTGAAAAATGGTTTGTTTGTAGCAAGTGGTTTTTATCCACGGTCATGGAATTATGGCAAACATCAAATGTAAAATGTTAACTTTGTTTAAAATGTGCCATAAGAGGGCAATTTTGTATGTTACTACGTCAGCAGTCTTTGCATAATTACTGATCTGTTTACGTCAAAGTGGCGTCAAAAGGGGGAAATATATGGACTGGTTTACGCAAGGACGTCATTCCATATTAGTATCTTAAAGTGTTTGGGAAGATTCTGACTGATGTATTGATTACAGTTTTTTTTTGAAGATTTGAAAAGTACCGGAATATTGAGCTTTCACTAATCTGAGAGGAAAGTGAGAAGGTGAACACCAAACCTGTATTAGCTTATGAGATCCTGTAGATAGAAAAATGGACATTGTGAAAAAACAAACTGGAATCACTTGACATTTGATACGTGATGACATCATCGCGACGTCGTCCGTGTACGCACATCCGGGAATTAAGTTTGACGTGTGTGTCAAGTTTCAAGTGCATGCAGCATGCTGTCTCGGAGAAAAGCCGTGGAGAATTATCCTCCAGGGTATTCTATTTCGAAGGGGACTAAAGTCCGACATTTAACGAGGGAAGCCTCCACGAGGCGTGAAGACTAGTTTCCTCTCGAGACTGGCAATAATTTCATCTTCCGTAGGAGTGTGCATAGTGTGTCCCTAACCGGTCGTATAATACAGAAACAGTGCAGAAGGGCATAGTATACGGTGACACTGCTTCTTGGTGGCGCTCTTCCGTGGGCTGTAACTACAGGTATACGATCACTTGGCTACAGCTTGAAATGACACACGACTCAATGGGAAGTAACTACAGCCGCGTTGGTCATTTCAAGCCGCAGCGAAGTCATTCAGACACGGTTCATAGCTGATTTTTTCGTGGGACAAAAGTGCCAAAGTGACTGATGGGTTAATTTTTTCCTCGAAACAGACATCCCTGTGTAAGGTACTATTACGTGCAACAGTCATCTTCGGCAGTGCAGAGTTATGTAGAATTTGGTTTAATCTTCGATTGCAATGCATACAGATTAGCCATAGATTTTGCCCAGAAACTGTCAGAGGGAAACCGTACGTGCAAAGAGGCACAAAATTTAGGCACCAGTATTTTCACCCCCCCCCCCGAGTTCTTTTGTTTCCGCCGTTTTTCAATTTCCCTGGTAAAAATTGTGACGCGTGTCCAGACGTCAACCGGTTCACATACAAAACGTCCGTAGCGTATCAGGTGTCACCCGTGGCCATATGTGGGTTTTTTTGGCCAATGATGCAAGGAGTCGCTAGTTGGCAGTCAGCCTACCTCCTAATGAGCGTTACTGGCACTTCCACTTGCCCATGACAATGCTCGGGGGAGCGCATGTGATTTGCGAGTACAAACGAGATTACAGTGACACGTATCCCTTTCAAAGTGACAAGAAGGTCATTTCTTCTTTCATGGGCCAAACATGAGATGGTGAGGAGAGATAGTCTGCTCATCAGCCATGGTCTGTCAAAATAAAGGAGCCAGTATTCACGATTGATTTTATCACGGAACTATTAAACACCAGGAGTTAGAATAAAGTCCCTACAGACCGTAATCCGATTAACTGCTCCAGTGGGCTCCACAGACAAAGCGCAGTTACTTGCCCCGGTATTGAAGACCCTCGACATTCTTGTACGCGGTGATCTATACAGGTATCGCAACCGTCAGGTATCTGGTAACCCACATACTCGCCGTGTTTCGCTGCGGCATACTGGAATAAATAAATGGTGGAAATGATGCACGAAGAAGATGCGCAGTTCTCTTTTGTAGTCCTTAGGAGTCAGCGGGTGATTCCCGCAAATGCGCTCGAAAATTTTGTTCCCTACCGCCGGAACCACAAAATGTCATAACTGACTTTAAAAGCTTCTGACTTTTTGCCAAATAACCATCGCCGATTCGTAATTTTTGAGCACATTTAATTTAATAATTTTACGAAGTATGAACGTGCGAAAACAAAATATTTTGAGTGCACCTGACCATTTTGCAATGGTATGAAAATCCTAAACTTGATTTGTTTGAAGAAGATACAACTACCTTTCTTACCAATTTGATTTAAGTTAAGCCAGTCCAGATTTTCATCCATTTGAAACCTGTTTTTTATGAACCCAATTACTCAAATAAAAAGACCAATATTTATGTCGAACAGTTCTCGAAAAAAGATCACAGAGGCACATTTTTTAAGAATATGAAATTGATACCTTAGCTTCCCATTTATTAAAACTTACTACATTTTAAAAGACAAAATAATGTAAATCACAATTTGTAAGATGCCACTACCTAGCTCATTTCGTATGCATCGTGGTAAATGGAAGGGCATTTTTCGTGGCTGCGCGCTAACAGTTGGGATTTTTTCAACCTTATCTGTTTTGTAAATGTGGTTTTGCTTCCTAGGAAATCGGTTTACCTAAACAAAGAAGGTCTTTAACCCCAGCTCTTTTGTGTATGATGTGGGCTCCCCAGTTCAATTCTAATTACTGAAGATAAAGGCAAATCCGGATTACAGCTAGTCTGGCGGGGTCCAAACAGCGTCAGCATACAGGATGTTATTAATACGTCAACTGCTAAGATAAAAGGGAATTGTTAATTAAACGAATGTACACCCCGATTGTGTGTTTACACGTCATTCTGCGCCAAGTGCTTAAAAAGATAATCACTTACATAAGTTTTTTATACAAGTACAACCTACCACAGTGCTTTACAGAACCGCATGCGACACGTGCTGTCCTGGCTGTAAGAAAGATACCTCAAAACAATACCTCATAGGTTAAGAGCAAAGTGGGCACCTTAACGCAGTGTTGATAGTGCAACTTGAGCTTGTTCGTGACACTGCCTGAAAAGAAAAAGAAATTACTTACAGTGACGCGCACACTACATCTTAAAACAGACGTCCGGCAATTTTCCACATTCAGTCAGGCGTTATTTTCACCTGACGATACCTGGAGTTGTCAAAGTAGAGAGCAAACTTATCACCGTCTTTTTGGGTTGTGTTTTGTTTTGATCATTTAGCGATAGATTCACCAAAAATTTGTGCAAATGGCGGGCAAATGTGCGTGTCTCCTAGTGTTTGTCAGTGCCTAACGGGTTTTATGGGGACTACCTGCAACCATAGAGGAAGGACACAGAAGGAGTTGTATCTCTGGCACTTCAAAATATTTAATGATGGTCGCTGCCGAGTCAGACAAATAATAGAAAACATTCAAAAAGTGCCTGATTACTGCCTGCATCTTAGCGAGCGAGCTATAGCCGGACAAGCTGGCCCAGTAAAATCCTAGCAATACTTGTGGTTTTTGTTTGCAATTAAATAAAAATTATTGCTGTGACCTGGAAATAGAGAGAGAAAAATCTCTGATATTAGACCTACTTTTGCCATCCTAAATAAACTGTTTAAATTTTGATGCATTGTTCCATTACCCATGCAAAGTATGTATTTTTTTTGTCTTCCCTCCAATACATCAGTATTCAAAGACTTGATAAAAATTGGGCTGAAGACTGGCCAACAAAATGTTGACTTTTACTGGAAAGCCAAGTTCATAAGTAACAAAATGCGCTATTTCATCACAGGAAGTGATCGTGGGATCTCATAAAATACTCCTTTGTGCAAATGCCATAATAAAAATGATTCAAACAAAACACAAAATCTTGTAAACAACCAGGCTATTCAGTCCCAAAATAACTCCAGAAGAAAGCACTCATTAAGGGCAATGACTGCACATATAGCTTTAGCGCACACAGCATAATGCAAGTAACTGTGCAAGCATTAAATTTGATGTTGTCATGAGATCATATCAAGCACCAACAAATGCATGAATATTCATTCTCCTATACCTCAGTGCACAAAGTTTTCAGGTTGTAGATTACCAGCGACAAATTGCGACGACGATGATAGGGTACAAGGGGTCTCGTGGTTGTGAAACAGATGGTGCGTAGCAAGTGTTCGAGGCGCTGTGGCTACGGACATACCAGGCATGCCAGAAAGCGGTAACTAGCCAGATGTCAAAGGCCGGGCAGTTCAAACTCCTAAAATTCTCTTTTGTTAAAACAGCGGTGGCTTGTTGGATCCGCTGCGTTGGGTGCCCGAAGGTCAGGGCGTTCACCGATCGAGCTTTCCCAACGCATCTGGCGCCCCCTCTTGACCGATTACTTTAGTAGTATGCTCAAAACCAGCCCTCGGCCATAAGTGACAGGAAACTACCTTCTCTGCCGAGTCTGTTGAATATTATGTTCCATATTATGTTCTGAAATCACATTCTTTTTGCTTGTTCATACAGATCAATACTAAAATGTCACCAACAGAGTCTTTAGAGTGAACCATCAATGACCATATTACGTGTTTTGCATTTTGTTGGATGTTTTACGGAGATATTTTTTACAAATATGTCATTGTATACTTGGGGCAGAGTATTTAGTTTAGCTCAGCACCTCGGCTTACAATACATATTTCATGTGCAAAGATGTTCTAGCAAGGAATAGCACTTAAAACTGACGTTGATATCGGTAATGTTAGATGCAAGTTACACAGAGAACTTACGGATGGTAAATTTCAGTGTGTATACAATTACGAGAAATTTTTGTTCTTTCCTCCTACAGAACAAAGTGCAGGATACATTTTTATTTTCGGTACGTTATCTTATGCTGCTTGTAACTTAATGCAAACAACATACCACATGACATCAAAACAGTCGATGACTGGTTAAAACGTGATGAGACTTTGAAAAATAATGTAAGAAATAATACAAAGGTGTTTCCAAACACTTGGGCTTGTCGATTGGAGCATTATTTGACTTCATCTCCATTTACAAGAAAGTTTGTGAATGTTTTTAGTGACTTGAAAGTGAAAGG